ACACCCATCCTTCCACCTGTTGCTCATTTCCCTCTTTATGTAATGAGAGAAACTTCATTCTCTCGCACTTCTGTAATTTTGGAAGTGGAGACCAATTGGCCTTTTGTGACTTTTCTTCTCGCCGATGTAATCTGTCCTTTCTCTTGTTTATTTATCTCATTCCCCCTCCCGCCCCTGTCTTCCTGCCCCCCCTCCCCAGACCTCGTGACTGATTTTGACTTCTCTCCGTTCGATGACTCCCTGCTGGCGACGTGCTCGGCCGATGAGACCGTGAGTTCCAGTCTCTCTGTCTCCCCTCGTCGTCTCTCGTAAGAGTGACACCGGTCTGGCCGGACCGGTGCCTCTGGAAGGGTTTGTGCAAAAGACTCTCAGTGGCAATGTGTGCCCTGAAAGTGAAGCTCCGCCTCCGCCGTGACGGACATTCCCTCAGCACCTATGCCCCTGGTCCTCAGCTGTGATGTCAGCTGCTCTGATTACGTCATAGTGCTGAGACAGGTGTGGAGGAACCTAACAATGACACACATGCCACAGGATACCTACATCCTCAAGGCCACTCTAGTAGATATAAGTGTTTATGTCCAGTGGTTTTGGTTTCTGTAATATGACACCTGACCAATGATCTTCAAAGGGCACCACAAACCGGGAAACGGGGGCTGGGATCGGTGTGTAATAAACGTATGGGGTGCTGTACTGGGGGGGTGGGCACAGTGAGGTAACAGCACTAACCACTGTGCCACACCTCTCAGACTAGGGTTCGAGTCTCCGCCATGGCTGTATGTGTGGAATTTGCATTTCCTCCCCATGCTGCTGCAGGCTTTCCTCTGGGTATTCTGGTTTCCCCCCCCAGTCCGAAAGCATGCTGAACTTAATTGGAGTTACTAAATTGTCCCTAAGTGTGCATGGTCTGTTTCTGTGTTTCCCTGTGTGTTCTCTGCCTGTATTGACCAATCTTAATGGTGTGTCTGTGCCCTGCTTATTCCCTGCCTTGCACCCGTAGCCCCTGGGACAGGCTCCAGTCCCCCATGACACCGAATAGGACAAGCGGGTACAGAAAATGGATGGATAGATGGAACGCTGCACTGCTTTGTGGGCTGGGTTTGATTACTAGTCTGTAGGAGTCTAGAGAAGCTTTCCTTACATGGGAGCTGGGGGATTATGGGATAGGTGTTGGGCCTGGGTGGAGGACTGTGAGAAAGGGTAGCAGAGGAATGCAGGCCAGGGGGATGGAAAGTGTGGGGATGGAGACTGGAGGTGGTGTTGGTTCTCTCTTCTTTGGAATGACCACACGTAATGACATTCGGTGTGTATACGTAACCCGAGACGGACCCCACTGCTGAAGGCCACCACTGAAACATTAGCTCTCAGTCCAGGGAAGCAACGTGTGCGGGCCTGAGTGTTAATGAGTCGCTGTCGTGTGGCAGCAGTTCTGCGCGTGTCTGTGGCTGTAAAGTGAGAGCCCGTCCTGACGTCCCCAGGTGAAGGTGTGGCGCCTGAGCGAGCCGCACTCAGAGCAGCCCCACTCGCCCTCCGTCACCCTGTCTCCGGGGGAGGGCCGCCTGGAGACCGTCCTCCACCACCCCACCTCCTCTGGCCTCCTTGCCGTCAGCTCCTCCCAGGGCGCTCAGGTGTGGGACACCAGCCGGGACACGCCCCTTGCAGGTAGCCCCCTCCGACACACGTACACCCCTTATAAAGAACTTGGAAATAGAGGTTAATTTATGATGAGTTTATGGAAAACATAGTGGTTAAGTTTCTGCTGTGCTCTTTGTTAGTCCTCAGTCAATGCACTGTGTGTGGATCCATTTCCTCAAGGTACCTGAGAAGGGTGTCACTAATGTATCTGTAATGTGGGTCTCTCATGTGTGTCTTTGTGTTGTCTGTGTTTGTATTTGGCTGTGTTTCCCTGTGTGGTCTGTCTGTAATTACTTGTGTTTCCCTGCTTGGTCTGTATCTGTAATTACCTGTGTTTCCCTTCTTGGTCTGTGTCTGTATTTACCTGAATTACCCTGCGTGGTCTGTGTCTGTATTTACCTGAATTACCCTGCGTGGTCTGTGTCTGTATTTACCTGAATTACCCTGCGTGGTCTGTGTCTGTATTTACCTGAATTTCCCTGCGTGGTCTTTGTCTGTATTTACCTGTGCTTCCCTGCATGGGTTGTTTCAGTATTTAGCTGAGTATCTCTGAGTGGCCTGTTACCATATTTTACTGTGTTTCCCTGTGTGGTTTGTTATCGTATTTACTTGTTTCCCTGTTTTGTTTTGTTACCGTATTTACCTGTGTTTCCCTGTGTGGTTTGTTACCGTATTTACCTGAATATCTGGGTCGCTCAGTCAGATAGGGGAAACGGGGGCACACCTTGTGTGCTGTTCCCAATTGCTGTTTGTTTGAATTTAAAAAGCACAGTCCTCGTACAGAGGAAGGTGGAGTATGTGGACTGTGTGCAGACATGTATTTGGACGTAGCCTGATCTGCCATGAAGGCCTGAGAGTCTGGGACGCCGCGATGAGCAGCGTGGCATAGCGAGGTGCGCAGTCAGCTGCCAGACGAGCGGCATGGGCGACTTTCTGTCTCTGCTAACACGGTGCTGTTAACATCAGGGACGTCCGCTGCCCTTTAGCACAGAGGGTTAGCGTTCTGCAGCACTGTGCTTCCTGTCAGGATTACACTTCCTGTTCTGGGTGTCAGAGGAGCGAATGCCTCGCTTAAAGGGCCAGCTGGTTTACCATGGCGCTGTAGGGTGAGAGGTGAGAGGTGAGCGGCACCACGAAAAGCAGCCACACTCTTTGCAGATAGGTGGCCCTCTGGTGCCACAGTGTTTCACTCGATTTTTCCCATGGGCCACAGTTTACAGTACCTGTGCTCTGTGTTACTGTATTCACCTGTGCTGCGTGACTTGTGCTTGTGTCTTTTTTTTTTTGTTTTTGTTTTGTTGTCATGTTTAATTTTCTTTTATCTGTGTAGCAGAGGACTTTTCCATGGCGTCTTGTGTTAATCACGCTCTCCATGGCTCTGTACTGGAGCATTTGAGGTAAATGACCAGCAGCGGTCGGTTAGCTCTGGGTCACCTTCAGCTCACAAGCCCTCCATTACTGCCCACTGCAGCTAACTGCTGCCCCCTAGTGGCCGGGTCATGTGCCATCCGTGGCTCTCTCACGCTGTCTGCTGTGTCGTGCCGTGTCGGTATGTGCAGTCTGTCCCCAGCTTTGTCACCCATCCTGTGCTTCTCACCCTGTGCTACACAGCTCTGTGTTCGTGTTTGTGCTCTGCCCTGTGCTCTCCTGTGCTCGTTAGCACAGCCATCACTGTGTCCCACCATCGTGAGCCCCTGTGCCTGCTGTGACCACCTGTGATTGTCCGCCTGTGTCTCGCCATGCTCGTCTTGCGCTGTGCTGTTCTGGCTCTGTGTTCCCCGTGCCACGCTACGCCGCGCCGACGGGAACCCCGCCACTCCCATCCCCACTGTGCGTTCTCCCCGGGGGGGCTCCCCATGTGCCACTGACACTCCTCCTGTGTGCGCCCTCGCCCCCCCAGTGCTGGAACTGCATGCCGACCAGCTGTGGGGCCTGACCTGGAAGGAGGATGGCTCTCTGATGGCCACCTGCTGCAAGGTGAGCTCCCGGGGGGGCCGGGGGGAGGGGGGGGTCTCAGAGAGGGACGGAGGGGCACTAGGGGGTGCTGGGGGGGTGCTGAGGAGGGGATAGGGGATCTCAACCCTTTGATGACTATGCGGGGTATGAAGTTGTTTTGATGATCACAAGGGGGGGTTTGGCTGTTTCCCTTTTGTTTCCCAGATGCGATCAGGAAGTAACAATGTCAACCAAAAAAATAGGCATGGTTTGAAAATACCCCTCCCCCAGTGGGGGGGGGGCCCACCACTAATAAAGAGACTGCAGCATGATCAGGGCTCTCCCTGCGGGGCCCAGGTAGGTCGACACCTATGCTGTGTACAGATGAGAATTCTGGATGGATTCACAAAAGGAAATAAAGAGAGGAGTAAAACCCAGAGCAGTCAGTCTGTACCGTCCTGTTTTTGTTATTAATATTATAATTATTATTATTGCTATCGAAAGGCTGAACACACTCCTACAAAAATGCATTCTGTCCATGAGGCTCTGAGATGCCGCTGTCAATGTGGGCCGCAGTTGCAGCACATCACCACTAGGTGCCGCTAAGATGATGATGGATTTCCAGTGTGGCGGCCCGAGGGTCGGTCTAAAGCCGTACTGTTAGAGCGCGTGAGGTGACCTGCATGGCTTACGCTTTTATACGTCTGAATGTAAACAAAGAGAACGGATGGGCTGAGACTGGGTCCTGCTGTGGGACGCCCAACCTGGGCCCCCTCTGTTTGGTCCTGGGGGAGAAAGTAAAAGCATAAGGAAATAATAATGGTGCTGAAAGACTTTCCCCTTTTGTGTTAATAATTAGATAGACGGTGGGCCGGAAAGATCTCGGAGGGGGTGGCTATTCAAGGCATTTTAAGAGGAACTATTTGTTGGACAATAATTTAAGGATTTAATTATATTTTAGAATTATAAGCTGCTTGTACCTGATGCACTTTTTCCAGGGGCAGTTTTTTACATTTCCTTAAGTGTTCTTGTGTGTTTTGTTCCATGGTGCTTAAGATGTTTTAAATTACCTTGAGCAGGGCTTGGTTGTCTGACCCAGGCTGGGCGAGAGCTCAGCGTGTGGCGGGCGGGGGGGGGGGTAGCTCTGACTCTCATTTCGCTACTGTGAGGTGCACCACCTGAAAGTGATTTTCCTAATGTGTCGCCCCTCTGATGTCACTGGCTCTGGAATCCCTGGTGGAAAATCAGCCCTGCGATTTACCTGTCACTTTTACGAGAAAATAAGCTTTATAAATTAGACCCAAATCCTCCAAGCGCAGGGTGTATTTTTAAACGTGATCCACATGCTGAGAAATGAAAGGAAACTAATTATTATGTTTTTTTAAAAAAAAGCCTTTTTGTTGGACTGCTAGTCGTTGAGGCATGTGCTTTAAGGCGCGTTACGCTTGGCAGGTAGCTAAGAGAGCTTGGCCTCTGGTTTGCTTGCTGGTCCGTCTGGGTTCCATGGGTCACATGACCCTGCCTTAAGAGGCTCTGTGGGTCACATGATCCTGCCTTTGATAGGTGTTTAATAGTGATGGCTGGATTGACGTACAATTAAGCGTCCAGTGCAATTTGTGTGTGCAGTGTGGGCCTCTGTCTATCTGCAGGCAAACACAGGCTCTGCGCCCCCACACCCAGCACGCGGCCCCTCTTCGGCCAGCTTCCTGCCATCTGCCGCCTTGCCCCCCCCGTCACTGACCCCCGCCTCTGCCGCCATGGTGCGGCTGGGCTTGCACGCCGCTTATTTTGGTCATTCCAGGTTTGGCTCCACTGGAGCCGCCGCAAGCGAGCGCCAGCCCCAGCGCCTCATAAAGTGACCCCGGGGCCCTCCGGCGCGGTCAGGCCACACCGCCTCGTTTGTCAGGGGGATGCGCTCCCAGTCTGGGAGAGACTCTGGAGCGTTTTTATAAGTGAGAGTATTTATACTCTACTTAGTATGTGTGACTGGGCCTCAGGGTCTGTCTGTGTGTGTGTGTGTGTGTGTATGTGGGTGTGTGTGTGTGTGTGTGTGTGGGGGGGGGGGGTATGTGTACGCATGTGTCTGTCTGCCTGTCCTTGCTGTGAAATGTGACATCAGCTCATGATGCAGCATCACGCACTCCTGAGGCCCTGTCCTGAGGCCCTGTCCTGAGGCCCTGTCCTGAGGCGCTGTACTGAGGCCCGTCCTGAGGCCCTGTCCATTCGTCCCGCTCCACTTTATTAAGAAATTTATTTTGCATTTATTCAGCAGACACTTTTATCAAAAGCGACTTACATTTTTTGGGGACGCAGGGTCAGCCATTAGTGCCTTACTCAGGGGACCAGCAGTGAAATAACTTGGGCAACCCTGGGATGTGAACCAGCGACCATTCGATCAGACACGTCTGTCTGCCGTGCTATTTTTGCGGCAGACAGACCCACTGCGGCCACTTCGTACTGGGAGAGAGTCTCTCTGCAGTGGTGGAAAGAGCTGGGCTTGGGGATTGGGGGGGCAGGGGGGTGGGTGTTTGGGGACCAGAGAGTGAGTCACGATGAGCATTTCGGTGCACATGGAGACGGGAGAAGTTGGAACGGCAGCCAGCTTTCATCAAACCCTCCCCAGCAGCCGCCCCTTCACTCCCTTGCGGCTTCCCCGATAGCTGCTGATGGTTTCAGAGGATTTCCGACCACGGCTGCGGAATTACGGATGGGTTCCCCGGGGGCGTCGGGAAGCAGGGCCGCGGCGGGATGCAGACGGCCGCCTCTGCCAGTCTCCGCTGATCGACAGGCGTTTCCACGGGAGACTGGGAAAGTGAAGTCTGTAGCTTGGGGTCATCAAATCTCCCCACCCCACCTCAGGGGGGAGGCTCATGGAGGATGGGCCATCGGCACTGTAGGGGGGGGGGGGGGGGCTCTGACATTTCAGCGGAGTCATTAAAGGGAGCCTGGAAACGCAGGCCCAGGGCTCAAGATTAATCAGCTGTGGCCTCATTGTGTGTGTGTCTGTCTTTGGGGGGGGGGCAGAGTCAGACAGACAGTGTGGATGTCTAACAGATGAATGTTAACAGATGGCCGCAGCATAAAGCTTTGAGGTCAGGAGGGTTAGCGTTGTGCCCCCCCCCGGTCATTGGTCTGTGTCATCCTGAGGTCTTCCTGAGGGGTGGGGCCTCCTGACTGAGGCTGTCCCAGCGTGGACTCCAGGTTCCTCCTGACTTGGCGTCCCGCCTCGTCGATGCCGCAGATCCAGCATGGTGGGACAGGCAGGTCAAGAGCCTGCAGTCGCATGGGAGACGTGGAGTAGAATGTGCGGGGGGGGGGTTCCGACGTCTCCCTTTGAAGGGTGACTTCTGGCACTTTCCGTGACGGAGACATCAGAACGACCTCCTTGTGGCTGCGCTCCTCCCTGCCCTGGTGAAGATCACCCTGGCTGCCCCCCCCCCATAGCATGTTCCCATTAGTGCTCATTTCCGCCCAATCAGTGGCCATCCCTCTCCTGATTGGCTGTCCTGATTACTGCCACATGCAGGATGGATAGGGGTCATTGGGTCAGGGTGAGGTGGCTGAACCCTGATGATTATGGGGGGGCTTTTTTCTTTTTCATTTAGTGCTTGTGGGTTTCGCCTGCCTGTGACAGTCCTACGGGCCTGGATAGTGTATCTGACTGCTGCTCGGTCCGTTAGGGCGCTCTGTCTGTCATCGGTGGGTCGTCAGTTCAAGTCCCCGGGTCAGTAGAGTGATGTCACTGTCGGGCCCTTGAGGTTCTGAACCCAGAGTTGCTCCAGGGACTTGCTGACCCTGTTTTCTCATAGAATCCTGCATCCCTTTATGTAAAAGCATTCGCTCAGTAAATGCAGGTAGACCCTGGCTGCGCAGGGGTGCAGTCGGGCTGCAGTCGGGCTGCGCGGCGCCCACTCTGTGCCTTTTGCATTCTCTGTGCCGCAGTATTATTTTTACTTCACTGCCAATGCCGGCAAACGCCCCGCCACCTTCTGCATGGAGGCATGGAATACATACCAAACTGTAGGTGTGACGTCATCATCCCAGAATATCTCATCCAGGGGCGGGGGTGCGGTGGGTTTGGTTCAGCCCTGAAGGGTGATAGCAGCCATATAGACCAGAGTAACGAGATCCATGTCCCCCCCCCCCATCAAAGGTTAACCTGTGCCGTGATTTATCGCGCCGCGGAGCTGTTAACCCGTGCCGTGATTTAGCGCGCCGCGGAGCTGTTAACCCGTGCCGTGATTTAGCGCGCCGCGGAGCTGTTAACCCGTGCCGTGATTTAGCGCGCCGCGGAGCTGTTAACCCGTGCCGTGATTTAGCGCGCCGCGGAGCTGTTAACCCGTGCCGTGATTTAGCGCGCCGCGGAGCTGTTAACCCGTGCCGTGATTTAGCGCGCCGCGGACCTGTTGGCCAGTCCGTTCGGCATGCTCCGCTTAGCTGCCAGGGTCAACAGTCAGCGAGCCGCCAATTCTGATCAAACAAGGGCCTAGAGGACACCAAACCGCCTCACAGTGCCAATTCTCTCGCTTTGTTTTTATTTTCTTTTTCTTTCAGGGAGGGGTGGGTCGGTTTCGGAACATGAAGGAAGTCATAGAGAGAGTTGGAAATACGTCGACCCCCCCAGCAACAAGAGGATCTTTATTTTACATGGGATTTTTGCGATACGTTGTTGCGCCAGTCCGGCTCTTCAGTTTGAGCTGTCCCTGGCCCCCAGACCCCTCACACCACGGAGCTTTATCCTGGATAATCTGCCTGCCTCTTCTCTGGCGATCTTTCGCTCTGCTTCCTCCTGACCTCCGTGAACTAATCACCCGCAGATGTGTCGACGTCTTCGGGCTCCTTCTGGCCTGGCGTCCCCGGCCCTGAACTCTGACCTGTTTATTTTAAGGATTTACGGCTCTTAAAAATAGCACGGCAGAGTTATTTGTTCCCGGATATTCTTCCCATGAAGCGGATCGCGCTGGATGTTCGTTTAGTGATACCGGATGCAGGCTATGCTGCGTGCATGCTCCTGTACGGGCATGCTGCTGATGCATGCTGGGAAATGAGCTGGCATGCTTTTCATTTAGTGCTTGTGGGTTTCATGTAATGTGTGTGTTTTTGTCTCTTCTTGGTTCTCCTCAGGACAAAAAGCTGCGTGTGTTTGATCCCCGGGCTCAGCTGACGCCAGTTCAGGTAAGCTATCTTTCTACTGTTTTATCATGATTTTTAATGAGTTTACATTGCATATGAGCAACGCCAAGGGCCGATGTGGGGGCTAGTCCTTCGCCGCAGGTGACCTAGCCCTACGTCTGATCCAAAGGGCCAGGTGTGTGACCCTGATCCTCACGCGGTGCCGGGCAACCTGATGGGAGTCCATAGGTTTGACCGCAGGGAGGGGGGGGGTCGTAGCACTCAGTGTGATGTCACACATCCGTGGCTTTCCATAGGTGTAAACGGTACGGTGAGAGAGAACTCTCCCTCTCTCTCTGACTCTCTCTCTCTCACACTCTCCCTCTCCCTCTCTCACTCTCTCCATCTGCACTTTACTGAACAGTCTAGTCCGAATTCCCACAGCCACTTGTTGCTTATTAATCCGATGGGTTGGCCCGCTTTTAAGCCTGGTTGTTTGCAAGTTTAATATCGAGTAAAGATTTCTTTATTGGTCCCAGATCACTTTCGCCATCTAACTTTTGCCGTCGTTGTCATCGCTGCTGTTCCTTGGGCTGGAGAAGGTTGCCATGGCAGCATCTGTCTAGGCCCGGTGACTCGCACGCGGAGGGCGGAGTTTGCCAGTTTCGACATGTGTTATCACTTTCGGCGGGTGACGTCACCGACCTCCTCGACGTTTTCGTACACCCAGCCTTATCGGCAACTAATCAAAATCTAAATGGTAACAGATTAAATTGAAATTGCTCATATTTTGCTTGGGATTGCGATGCTGGAGCTGTGCCCTCCGTGTTTTTTTGAGAGCTGAACCTTTGTCCACATCTTAGTATCCGAAGGTCACATGACTCTACAGCCCGTTTGTGTGTGCGGCTGTGGAGCAGAGCTGTGTGGATTCGCGGGAAGCTAATGGAAATCCTGACACTGGACGGTGAGGATTTGCTGGGTCTCCCAGGTTTGAGAGCTGATGGGTTAAAACCCGTCAGCGTCCTTGTGCCCTGGATCCGGTTCTGCATTCCTTCCCGGCCCGCTGTCATCTTTGGACCTCGTCTCCGCTCTATTTTCTCTCTCTCCTCGACTTTCTGAGAGTATTAGAGGTTAGAGAGCAGTATACGCTTTCACCCAAATTAATGTCCTCCCTGCCAAGGAGCAAAAGAAAGATCTGAGTCTGCATTTTATTTTATTTTATGATATATATTTGTTTGTTCCCCCTGCCAGAGCGGTCTAGGATCATCAAAGTTCACGTGACCGACCCGCGGGGCCAGAACCGCATCCCAGTACGTGTCTACCTTCTCGGGTTCGGCCCAATTTGAAGAGTGAATCTCAGTTTGTCCGTTCAGTTCTGCTTCTTTCAGTTTCTGCGGTAACTCTGCTCCATAATCTGATTTGGCTGCTTTAATGTGGAGCTAAAAAGACAATTCTGGGGACAAAAAAATGCCCTGAAATGCTTGGGATGAGAGCACCGTGTCCTCGAGTCCCGGGCCTCATGACGGTGACAATAAGCCGCGTGGCACCCTGACATGCTCTTGGTCTGAGGGCTACCTCAGGGAGGGGTTGCCTCTAAAATTCACCGTAACACTCACTGCTGTAACAACACTGTTTCTGTAATAGTCACTGCAGTAGTAATACTCACTGCAGTAACAGTCACTCCTGTAACAACACTTACTGCTGTAATAGTCACTGCAGTAGTAACAGTCACTGCAGTAGTAACAGTCACTGCAGTAGTAACACTCACTGCAGTAGTAACAGTCACTGCAGTAGTAACACTCACTGCAGTAACAGTCACTCCTGTAACAACACTCACTGCAGTAGTAACACTCACTGCAGTAGTAACACTCACATGGTACCAGTGGAGAATGAACCTTCCAGGGCCGTTTACTCGTCTCCCATTTCCTTGTTTTATTATGAATATATTCATCTTGTATTAATGTTTTGTTTCTGCAGCTGCTTTATTCCTGACAGCTGTGCACTTTTTACATTCCAATAATGTTTAACTCATTTCCCTATTTTTAATCCACTGTGGGTTTTTTTCCCTTTCAGCTTGTAGCCTAGCATACATCTCCTTTTTCATATTATCATATACTCATTTTTTGTCTGGAAGTCAGTCACAAGCAATTTAAAGCGCTATATGGTGACAGCTTATTGTTGCTGCTTAATGTAGTATTATTGTATCTGTGAGCTCATGGCTCTGGAGTTCCCCTGTGGACGGGGCTTAGAGAAACACTGGGGGTGCTGTAGCTGGGACTGCGCCCCCTGTGGATATTGCCTGTTTTTGCCGTAGATGGAGGTGTTAGGTGTGAGTGTGTGGGGGTGGTTGGTCCCTCAGAATTCGTCCTCCTGTTGTCACCGTTGGCCCCATGTCTGTTTCCGCGTCACCTGCCCAGCTCCCGTGTCTCTGTGTCCCGCCCAAGCCTTTGTGGTGTCTCTTCCCAGACTGCCCCTGGCTCCCAAGTCCGGGATGGAGGCGGTCAGCACGGAGGGCACGGTGCCTGAGCATGGTGTGCCTGTGTTACGCCTTGTTAACCTCTGTGTGTGTCTGTGTGTGCGCGCGCACACGTGCGTGCATGTGGGTTTGTGTGCGCGTATGTGTTTTAAATTACAGAGTTGAGAATACTCCTCATAGTTTTGGGCTGCTGCTGGCAGAGGAGATGGAGAATCGCAGACCTCAGGAAAGGGAATATTTTCTGGACTCCAGGGCAGATTTCTCCGTTTCTCTTTCCCCTTCTGTCGCTTTTCTGTGAAATCAGAGAGGCTGTGGACGCAGGCTGGGGAGGGAGGGCAGGCCGGGATTAAAAACGCTGCGAGCTGCCGACCGATCGGCACGTTTCCTCCCGAGAGAAGTGCACGAACGCACCTTTTGCGTGAGGTCAAAGGTCAGAGCCTCTGCAGCAGAGGTATAAACTAGTTAGCAGGAGGAATTGGAGAGCAGCTGTGGCGGGTTCTTGATTAAAGTAAAATTAGAATAGAATGGTTTATCGTGCAAGTGGTGTTTGCCACCAAAAAGCCATGCATGCATGTGTATTTCCCTGAATGAGAGAGTCAACTAAACCAATGTCTCGTGAGCACAGAATTGTTTATGTTTATTCTGTATTTGATTGGCTCCTGGCATGCTATTATGATGTCATAAAGTTGAAGGTCCCGCCCACTAGCCCAGGTCTGTTTTGCTGATGTATCCATAGCCATACTAACCCGTTTTTTTGCGCCGGCCCTCTCCTGAAATAAAAAAGGAGACGTGGAGGTACAGGCTCCGGCGCCGTGACACATGTCCTCACGCCTAAAAAAAGGGAGGAAAAAACTCATGGGAGCTGGCACAGTGAGACACCTGAAGGACGGCGCAGTGAGACACCTGGAGGACAGAAGTGTGTCTATCGCCGGCTGTTTCTGTAGGATCCTGTCCAGAGGTTCGCCTTACGCGGGCTGGAACAACAACAGCGGCGGCGGCGGCCGGCCCGCGGCAGAGCGGGGGTGGGGGGGGGGCTGGACGCCGGTCCATCCGCTAAGCAGGCGCTTTTCGCCGCACTCAGCACTTCTTCCTTTCCGCAGCGCCCGTCTGAGGGTCGCGTGGAGTTCGGCCCGAGAAGCGAATGAGGCGGGATGCCGCGTCGGCCGTGGCGGACCCCAAGGGGCATGCAGATGACAGTTCACGAATAGATGCGCGGGGAACCGTGCCGCAGTCTGCATCGGTATCTGTGTTTCTCAGTTATCGTCATCCAGTGAACTTTCCCTGTTAACAAACTGGGCCAAATCTACCACTAATGTGTCAAAGCTGGTATTGGCCCAGTAACCATGGCGGTCTAAACTGGACCATGACCCCAGAGCAGGGAACGGACTTTGCTTTCCAGTTCTGTCCTCCCTGAAACCCCTTGATAGTACATGTGGAGAAGGCGGTGGTTGCCATGGCGACAAACCTCAGCCATGCCTCCTGCCGGTCTGGAAATTCCCCGATCTGGTTTTGAGTGTATCTGTAGAAGCCTGTTCTGTGTCTCCCTCTCTTCAGGCTCTATGGCCATTTTATCACATCTATTCCGGCATTTCACCTTTATTCTTACATAGTGCCCAAGGGTCAGATGAGAGACTGAGGTCAGTAGCCTCACTGTGTGCTCTTCCAGACAGATGGGGAGCCCAGACTCTCTGCCTGCTGCAGTTCTGTGACTGTTAGTGGCATTTTATGAAAATAATGAACAGCGAGAACCAAACTGGCTGCCATTTGTTCAAAATCCCTGTGACCGTAATTGGGACAGCTTGGGGACATTGGGAACGGTTCTCTGTAAAAATAAATGACATTTAATTGGATCAAGCAGGATAAATGCAGCTTATAGGAAGTAACTTCACAGCTTTGGGTGCTTGCTTTCATAAGGATGTAAGATTTTAATACTCCAATGGTTCATAGCCCTGGTTTTGTTTTTGTTTATTTTGTTTGTCAAGCCAAACTGCTTCTCCACCAGAGTTTTACCCAGAACGGCCTCCTGGGGCCTCCCTGGACCTCCCGGGGCCTCCGGGCCCTCTGGCCGCGTCCCTGCCCTGCACCTGGCCTGTGCTTCGCAGCCTCTGCCTGAACCTGCCACTGATTTGAAAGATGAATAAAAAGCTTTTCCATTCTGGAGCAGCTTTATGGTGGAGCTGGACCAGCTGTCTGGAAGCCCACTCATGCTGCACGGTTAGCGCAGCCGCTAATGCTAGCCAGGTGCCCCTTCCCCCCCCCCCCCCACTGTATTGGGTTTGTTCACATTGTCCCGGTTTGCCTACAACAACCAGCAGGGATCCCCAAATGCGACCGGGGCCAGGCTGCTCCTTAACGCAGTCGGGGCCAGGCTGCTCCTTAACGCAGTCGGGGCCAGGCTGCTCCTTAACGCAGTCGGGGCCAGGCTGCTCCTTAACTCAGTCGGGGCCAGGCTGCTCCTTAACGCAGTCGGGGGGGCCAGGCTGCTCCTTAACGCAGTCGGGGGGGCCAGGCTGCTCCTTAACTCAGTCGG